ATGGGAGAAGACGAAGTCAAGTAAATCGTAGCAGAAATTGAACGAGAGGTACTCCTGCTGGGTCCTCGATTCAGCACTGACAACCCTACTACTTCCATATCTGACATTGTGGTTAGTGTAGAGAAAGGAGTCCTTCACTCCAACGAAAGACTGAGAACTGTCAAGCAAGAAGTGATTTCTAGCGTTTGCCTTATTGCCCGCAATAATATCCACGAGCCTCCTCGTCCTTACCTTGCTACCTGCCATGCTTTGGCCATTAAAAGACTGAAGAAAATGTTAAAGGACGACAGTATAATAGTTCTTTGCGCTTACAAATGGTGATGGCTACTGATAAATATGAAACGAGAATGTTGGACCACTTAAAGAATAGCAATGTATACAGCAAACTTTGAAGTAATGTCAACCGTGACAAGACAACGCGCCAAAATGTGCGGGAAGGTTCTAAGGAATTTGCAAAACAAGAAGGCCGTCACGCAAGAACGGGTAGAGAGGATCCTGCCTAGTATTGATTCCTGTATAACCTCAAGACCTCATGGATTGGTAAAAGTCCATAAGCCTGGCAACCGGTTGCGTGTTATCATACCTGCGAGGCGAACAGTAGCAAGCCAGATTGTCAAAGAGATGGATTGACTACTGAAGTCTGCCGCTAAAATAATAACTTATAGAGTAAAAGACGGAAAGGAGTTTCTATTCTGAATGAAAGATTATGATTATCAAGACTACTTCTTAGCTTCGTTAGACGTCATTGCCGTTTCCAACAATGTGAATATTAACACGCTGGCTCATATTCTACCCGACATCTTCAAGGACACGATGGAGGAGTGGGGACAATCCAAGGCTTACTGAGAATTTGCGGTGCCAAGGAATTAATAACAATCTTCGGCCTGGTGATCAGTGGTACTAGTTTCAGGTTCGACAACAATACATACTGTTAGACGTACGGAGTTGAGACAGGCTCCCAGATGAACGCTGTTTTAGCCGATCTTTATATGGACCACCTGGAGGTGATAGCCCTTAAGGAATGCCCACCAGAATTCCGACCACTGTTCTGTCCGATTGATTGGCGATATATTTTTCTATTATTCCAAAGAAATAAGACGCACTGAAAACGCTGGAATGTTTCGTGAATTACGTGAATGGACAGGATAAAAATTACCGAATGCGTTTTACTTCTGAAGCGGAAGTTAACCACTCTATATCCTTTCTAGACGTGCTGGTGAAGAGGACGACATCGTTCGAATTTGAGGTTTCTGTACATCGGAAATCATCACACTCTAATTGATACCTACATCCGGCATCACGAGTCCCTGTTGGATTACTTAGGAACTTGGTGAAGAACATGCGTTTGCGAGCTCAAGAAACCTGCCTTTGCTCTTCGGGCCTTAAACATAGAAATCCAAAATCTTCACCAAATGTTTCTTAAGAACGGTTACCGAAGGAGTATCGTTGACGAAAAACGTTTGCACTTCAGCTGAAACATAAGGATGGCTAGTTCTTGAGGACCAATGGTAATTTCACCGTTCGTACCCCAGGTGTCTCGAAGTATCACGAGATCCATCATGACATAGGGTTTAGATTCTACTACAGACTGGAAGAACATTGGACGACATTTTATGTAAAAAATGAATGCAGATTAATAACCCGGTTAAATATGGTATACAAGGTTCAGTGAGGGAGACTGTAACAAAGTGTATATTGGAAAGTTCAACCGAAAATTGAGCATCCGGATTAGACAGCACCTTGCCGCGATCCGCCTTGGATAGAGGGACAATTCTGGCATCGTCCATGCGATTGCTAAAGGGCATTTTTTTCAGCTAAACCAGCGTGTCTGTAATGGACAAAGCCTATTCTAAATTATGTCTGCTGATAAAAGAGTCCTTGCCATATGCTGGCAATAAAAAACCGAATGTACAACGAATACGCATCTTCTGTTATCATCAGTGAAAGATGGGGCAGAATCTCAAAATCGAGTCGAAAAGACGATGAGATACCATGCAGATGTACTTTTGATGTTAGCATTATACTTTGTTCATGCTGTTTAACAACGTCATGACCGCATGTGATGAGCCAATTGAAAAATTGCTATTGTTCGCTTGCTGGACATAAATGCCTTCAAGCAGCCATTTGTATTGAGTCCAGCCCTGATGATCCTGCAGTCAGTGCAGTGAAACGCGTTGGCATTAAAGTGTTTACCACCTGCTGTATTTGGTGCCCGGAACCATTAATCATTAAAACAACTATGTATATAACTAAGGGACCAGACTCAGAAATCTGAAGCACTATTTATTCAAGTAATTGAAATTCAATTAGATAAATTTGAGTTTGTGCGTTCGAAAACAATATTCGATTCAGTTATTAATCCTTCTACAAAAAAGTTTGTAGAATATTGTTGTCGCTGCACTTATCTAATTTGCAGTTGCATGTTTGAATGTCTATGGTAATGAAACCATTGCATCACTTTCGTGCTATGAGTCATGCATATTGTTCTTATCTAAAAAATATTGCCATTAGAAGATGGGTTACGGTGAAGCCTGTATTGCTAGCCGGATGTAGTAGTCGACAACCTCATATGGGTTCATTACTTCAATACCTTTGTCACCATTCAAACAACTGTTTGTGCAAGTTATAGTCGCCTTTCTGGTCATTCTTTGTTTGAAGTCTGTTTCGCGGCATGCTGCATGTTCCACAGTTGCTTAATTATTTTCGAATTCAGTTTTGACCGCATCCGGCGCGTTCACCTGTCTTCCTCCTTGAACTGAATGAGGATGTCTTTTTTCTTGCGGTCTACATTTTGCAGGCCAATCAGTTTAGTTTCATGTTCCTTTTCTTGTCGTTCTAGAGCATTTCCCGTTTTTTCAGTTTAATAGGATGATTTAAGCCATTACAAAAGACTCGT